AAGTCTCCTACCCCTAACCCTGCAGGAGACGGGACCTCCATTTATTCATCCCTACCCGAGAAGACTAGAATATCTAACCATTTCTTGGTGTTATAGAAAGGCAGCAAATTCTTCTCAATCATTTTAAGACCCTGAGTGTTGGTCTGGCCAGGTCTCGAACCCTCGACCTCCCGCACAACAGTCCAGTGCTCTATCCATTGAGCTAACCAGGAGGCGGTTATTCTGGTTTCCATGGAATTTACCCCACCCCACCCCTTCCCATTCTTCCTTCTGATTGTGGGTTATCCCCTTGGTACAAATTTATTTCTTTCCACAATCATTTGCTGCTGTACAATCTAAGATGGCAGATACAATTTTCATCAAGACTAATACTGAGTACGCACTTGCAAAATCACACCTGCTCTGCAGGCTAAAATATAGAAGAGGGAAAATTCTCAATTTATTTTGCTGGGATGCCTGAGAAACAACTCTTATTTACAGTCCTACTGAGATAACTTAAACCTTCATGAGAAACTTAAAAAGGCTTGAGTTATCAGGATTTGTAAACAAAGGACCAAAATTAAGGGGAAAAGGGCGTTTACTGTCTTTCTTATTCATACAGTATGCATTTTAATCAAATTTAATTAGAAAGAGTCCAGTGAAAATGGAACACTAATTTACTGCAGAAATCACAACAAAACATAAATGTCTAGGACTGCAGTGTGCTGTTGGTTTGAATTTGTCACATATTGAAACACATGGTTCAATGTGTTTCAAGTTCAGTTGAGGCTAAAAACTTATGGAAAATAACCTGATGGGGAAACAAAAATTGCTTCCAGTTAGCCAGAGGTTAAACTTAACTAGGTTCAAGTAACCAAGGGTAAAATTGTAGCATAGGTACGATGGAAATCCAGGGGAAATTAAATAAAAGGGATAAATTTCTAAAGAAACAGTGGTGCTGCATCAGTGGGGGTAACCAGGTAATGTGGTTTTATTGACTAAGTTGAAATTGTAAATTGGCCCCCGTAAAGAGTTAAAAAGCTGATGTTTCAAGCATTAGCCCTTCATCAGAGCAAAAGACGAGGGGTTAACACTTGAAATGTCAGCTTTTTAACTCTTTAAGCTGACCAATTTACAACTTCAACTTAGTTGGTAAAACCAAATTACAGGAGAAATTTATTTTGCTTTGAGTCAAGTGGGAGGTTTGAGTTAGCAAGAATTGGAGTAATATAGATTCAACATTACCTGTTTCTCAATATACATTTGAGTTTTAATCATTTAGCTTTTGCTCCATACATGCCATCAAATAATGGTTAATATTTCTATTTCATGACGATCTGATGACCTAACTGATGATCAAAATGGTATTATTTATATACACTAAGATAAAAAAAGCAAATTAAACCAAAATAGTCATAACATATCAAACAAAATTTCGTCATAGTATATCTTTCCACTTGCTGTGCTGTGCTGTGCAAACATGTCAGTGACATAACAATGATTATCAGTTGAGTGAAGTGCACAAAAAGTTTGTTGTCTAGGTTTTAACTGTAAAATAATGGTGTTGTTGCAAGCAATCTTTTTCATTTCCAATTGTAACTGAACCTCAATAGCAGTGCATCAACTGTCAAACATGAAAGCCCACCAAAAGAAGTCAAACAACAAGTTGCCACTGTAAATGCAGCCAGTCCCCATGATAACAAAATGACTTCAGTGTCAAAATGTGGTCACCAAACTTCTGCTGGGCCTCATTCAACTGAAAATCGCAGTAAGTGACAAATTTCTAAACTACATCCTCCTGTTGCAGAAACTCATTTGCCACCTCAAAGTTAACGAACTCTTTTTTTCCACAGGAATCAATCAGCTTTTGCTCTCCGTCTTGCTTTGGCCATATTTGATTGACGAGTTGCTTTAAAAGAAAAGAAGGGAAAAAATTAAAAACTATTGAATCTAATTTAATAATATCTATGACTAAGAAGTAGTTCATCTGCTGAAGATTAACAGTGTTTTATAGATGACCCTATTAGCACTTCTGTGAAATGAATGATAGTTAACACTTTAACTTCCAAGATCCAATTGTTAATTCTCCCCAGTCAATGCTAGACATTTCCTTGTAAATTACTTATGAGAATTCGGTTTTAGATCAAGATAACAATTTTCACCCTGGTTTTACCATTTGAGTATTCTCATTACTTATTTGCAGGATAATGTATGTACATTGAAGGGAGAAGTTACGTGTTAATCACCTCTGGGAGTTTAAGGATTTAAGTTGCCAATGGGCCTGTAAAGCTGTTTTGTTTTCAGTCAAAACTGAAGTTTCAAAAGTTTTGAAAACTATACAATCAAAGCATCAGCTAGTGAAACAAACAGGACTGGTCTGTGTGCCAGAACCAGCTTTACTGTTTTTTAAAACTGCAGTTTTAAAAAATTAGCCTTCAGGCCCAGGACTTTGAAGAAACAGGCCTCTTTGATTCAAGTGCATTGATGGATGGATGGATGGATGGATGGATGGATGGATGACCTTTATTTAAACACAATAAAATTTAAAGCTACAAGCTTGTGGGTTCGTGTATTTATAATTAAAAACATAAATCCTAATGCAAATAAAATGTCAAAATATTGACAAGATTAGTAACTAGTGCATTATGAATTATACATTAAATTTATTTTTTACGAGATAAAATCATTACTGAATGGGTAAAATATCACTAAAATGTTCATAAATATTAATCGTCAATTATATATAAAATCTGCATTTCTATGCCGTGTTGTCGAGGCGGAGGTAGTCTCGAATTTAAAATCCTTGAAGTAATCTTTTGTTCTTATCAGATATCCATCTTTGTTGCTCAGATGTGGTGTTCTGCTCTCATTGAGACAAATTGTTTTCCACAGAACGGTGCCTCTGTAAGCCAGCGAATCCTTCATAAATCTAGTTTCGAATCTTGATACTGATAAGCAGTCTCCACCCTGTAGTGAATATCCATTACTCCTTTCTATGTAAATATTATTAGACAGCAATTCAGGCAAGTCACCATTTTGTGCTTTAAAAAAGACCTTAAGAATGTCTATTTTATAAATAAATAAAAAGTGGGCCACCGATCATAGGCCAGCACCTCTTTTGAAGGCATGTCTTTTGGTAAGTTAAAAATGATTCGAGATGCTCTACAATGAAGTCTTTCAATTGAATGAAGTAAATTTGAGTTACAACACGCTCCCCACAGTACTAGTCTGTATTTAACAGAGGGCAAAATAACCTTAAAGTAGAAGTCTCTCAAAATGCTTTTTGGCAAGAATCTAGATCATTTTAACAGGTCTAGTTTGCTAGCAAAATTCTTCTTAACATCCATTAAATGTTCATCCCATGTTAACTTGTGCTCAACTGTCAAGCCTAACACGCGTGCTTTAGTCACCCAGTTTATACTGGAGTCACCCAATAACACCAGGCAATCGGCCCCATTGAGTTTCCCCTACAAAGTAGCATCGATCATTTTCAATCAAGCAGCCACAAAAATCATTCCACATCATTCAACTTCCTTATACTTGGTGGAAATAAAACAAATTGGCAATTCTGCCACATGCATCAGGACTTTTACTTCCCAAATTTCCAGTCCCTTGTTCACTTTTAATTTATGTTTTACTTTATTTGATGTTTTACTAACCCTTTTTTTTTATTTGATGTTCTACTTTTATTTAATGTTTAACATTTCACTCTACCACAAGACTTTTTACTGAAGAATTGCATTATTACTTATTCCTATCATTCACAAGATCACATTAGTAATTCTCGTGCTGTCCGCCATACAGTTCTTATGATGTTGGTATCAAGAATTTGGTATTGGATCAACTAATGATCCCCTTATTGATATTTTTGTTTATTCTCATCAATTATCTGTTTGACTTTGTATTGATATTGTAAGGAGAAATTATGTTGGGAGTTAAAAGGTTCAAGGTCACTGGAATTTGAATAAACTGATATTAAGTCAATATAAATGATGATGATAACTTGAGGCAAGATGCGGTCCAAGTAAATATGTCTTTTTTCAGTTACGTACTACCTTTTTTCTTCTTTTCCTTTTCATTCTTTTCTATGTGTTTTGCTAGTTTCAGGGATAGATATCCACTTATTGCCATCAAAGGAGTCATTATTAGGAAAACTGCGAATAACATTAGAACAAATAAGCTTATAAATTAAAAACCACATACAGCAAACAAGGTTAGTGCAGAAATCGTGTAAAGAAAACAATCGAATACTAAAATAAAACTCATTTAAAAGCAAAAATATAAAAGCAACATATAGATTTCTGATTACTTACCATAGAAAAGAAACTCTTTGGGGTTCAAAGCGACATATTGTACAAATGAATCGAGGGTCTCTTTCCACGGACCCTTTTCTACTGAATTCTCCGCCATTTTGATTATAATAACACACCGCTGACCAACCTTTTGGGACAGCGCAGACCCCAGCATGAGCAACTTACCTCGTGGTTTGGAATTTTAGGAAGTTTCCAAGTTTTTATTTTAGCCAAACGTTGTGTTTCATTTAACAAGTTTATTACATATTTTCTATGGAGTTTGGACATAAGCCTCTTTTTTTTTTATAAATGGATTTTTTACTAGCATATAGAGCTTTATATATTTTTTATTCTTTGGTTTTCTGGAAAAGGGATCAGTTGCTTATCACCTGGTAAAACTCTCTTTAAAAAAAAAAAAAATGGGTGAAGACATACTACCAAGAGTTGTGGTGCAAGAATAACTTTATTGTAAATATTAGAAGGAGTTTGGTTTGGAATAGTTGTTGTTTTAGAGCGCCACAGGTTTGTTAGTAATTATATAATTTTAGTGCTACCCTCTTTAAAAAAAGTCTTTACCCACTTATTTACTTACTTACTTACCTACTTACTTAGTTGTACAGCTTAGATTAAACCTCACTTTAGAAACATATGGAAAGTTTGGAAAACACTCAAAAAGTATAATGTCATCTACACCACAAGTAACTTCCTCCCATCTGTCAACTTTTCAGGTGCTTCACACTGAACCCTTTAACCTCTGAGGGTGACTGGTATCTAATTTCTCCTTGCCTTTATTCTCTTGATCTTTAATCCCACTTAAAGGTCATGAGAATAAAGGCACAGATTTTCAGTTCTAAAAGATGCTCTTGATTGTGAGACAAATTCTCCTGGTCAGTTTTATTAGAAATGTATGGAACGGTGGGGAGAATGTGCATACTGATGTTTGGGTTAAAAGGTTCATGAATGTATGCTGGTTCATGATCTGACTGTCAATTGTATGTTATGGTTGTACAGGGTCGCTACTCATTAGAGCCCAAAAAATTCCCTGACTTTTCACTGACCTTGAAACATTTTTCACTGACCTTGAATTAAATTAATTATCAAACAGGCCAAATCCACTTATACTTTTCTCCATCGCTCTTAAGCTTTCTATCTGATTTGCTACACTCAATCGACTACTTCACAAACCTTTGTGGAACCCTCAAAACAAAATTACCCAACTTTTCACTGACTTTGACGAGAACTAGATTTCCCTGACTTTTTGGAAAATTCCCTGACTTTTCCCTGACCTTGAAAAATTTTTGTTTTTCCCTGACTTTTCCCTGACCGTGGCAACCCTGTTTCAGCATATCATGCTCCTACAGATAACTTTCTGCTAAGAACACGAAAGTTTGTTGATTTAAAGCTATTTACCTATACTTTATTGCAATGTTAGGTGAGTTTAGCAATGCATTATTAAAACTATTTTCTCAAAATAAACAGACCAGATCCATGTTGCGTACTTGAAAATATTACAGTGACAAGTGGAGACAGTGTGAATAATTTATATCTTGGCCTAATTCCCCACCTCACATTAAGAAATTGACAGTGGTTTAGCATGGTCTGTACTCTTATGGACAATGATATTCATCACTACAGTGGTCAAAATTTGATGCAGACTCACTTGGCTGTGCCTCAACATTTTGACCTCTGTGATGACAAATATCGTCATTGATATGAAACAAACACCATGCTAAAACACTGTCGCTTTGTTTTCTACTACAATACTGATGAATAAACCAATGTTTTAACTACCTGACCCATTGATGCCAGCAGCATTGGTTATAATCTTAACAACAATGGCAAATTAGCCAATCAGATTGCAAAATTACTGCCAATTGTGGTAAAATAATGTTTGTCTAATTCAAGTACTAAAATATTCTCTGTATCTTGGCCTAATTCACAACCTCATATATTTGTTCTACTTGTATTTGAAATGTTATTCCAGTGAAAGGTTTTTAAATTTCATTCTAGCAAATTCTGTAGTTGCATTGGAAACACTGCATTTATTTAACGACTATTCACCAAAGTGGAGGCGGTTAGTGGTGGATATTTACCGAGCCACGAGCGGCAAGGAAAATATCCACCGCTAACCACCGACACTGACGTGAATAGTTGTTTTAGTATATACTAAAACAGTGAGATAATATACACCACCAAAAATTGATTTAATTCATACATTCCAGCAATGGTTCCAACAGTTTCCCTGCAGAAAGGTTATGCAGGATCAATTTGCATTTGTAAACAAAACCTTTCTCATTGGTTTTTATTGATAAACTCCGGGTTTAAACTTAAACCATTACCCTTAAACACGGCCAAACCAAATTTAGTCGCTTTCTTTGTGTTTTCAGGGACTGCTTCGTTATTAATTTGAGTGATTTCTTCGCTTTTCACGGATGCAAACCAGGACACCATTTCTTCCCGAGTTGCTCGGAGGTAAATGGCAAATGATATTCGGAGTTTGACTAGCCAATCACGGTGTGCCTTCAATGCTATCCACTGTTTTAGTATATAATTACTAAATTATAATATTCACCTCAAGTCACAAAGACATGCTGGTAATTTCTCCTTACAATATCAATACAATGTTTAGCAAACACATGATCAGAAATAAAAAAAAATGATAGGGGATTAATAGTCGATCCAATTCCAAATTCTCCAAACTAACATCATAAGGATTGTATGGCAACAATATGGAGAATTAGAAATGAGATCTTATGGGAGAAAGAGTTAATACCCTGTTTGACTAGTTTTTGCCTGACTGGACTACTGGTAAGGTAGAAGTACTGTTGCACAACCAAAAATGAAATAATAATTCACCAGCCAATGTACATTTTGGTCATTTTCAAAAGTGCCCCAAAGTTATTGAAAGTCTGTGTACCACATTTTTTTTCAAGTAAATAAACTAAACACTAATTCTTCTTCACTTCATACTGCTTTAAAGTAATAAACTAGGTAACATGAGATGAAAATTTCACTTGGCAATTCCTCTTCTTTCTATCAGAGACAAAGAAAGAACCTGTTGTTCCAATGATAAAACTTCTGAAATGATTAATATTTTGCTGCTCTTAGATCAGAAGTTACTTGATTGATTAGCTTTCATGCCTAACTACGGTACCTACATCTTAGAGACTTCCAGCTCATAAAATACAACTCTGATTTCACTGTGGCAATAAGTTGCCTTTTTTAAGACTTGATTTTCTTCTCTTTGCCACTAATACCACTGCTTTTAAAATGTATTAAATTTTACTCAATACCATGTGCAAAGATCATTACAAGACCAGGATCTAAAGTCATAGATTCACCCATATGTTCATTTTCACAAGCCATGATCACTACTGCCTGTTTTCCTGGGATTCTTTTACAAACATACTGTTCATACCGCCTACGATTCAACTGCCTTGTTTCAAGAGTGCTCAACCCTGGAGGCCACTTCCTCTCATGGGCATTCTCCATAAGTTCATTCAAAATGGCTGGTGGGCATCCACTGTCTGCTAAAGCTCGCCTAATGACTGCTTGGAGAACAGCATCTGGAGTGGATATCATGCCGCCCCACCTTGTTACTCTGGCCGATTGCAAGCCCCTTAGCCACTGATGAATTTCATTGACATAGTGATCTGGTTGTGGCAGATTGTTAGGCAATATTGGCAATGCATGCGGCAAATTGATCACTCTCGTGGTTCGGATCATATCCTTGAGAGCTTGAATCTCACGTTTCTGTTCATTTAGCTGTTGGCGCTGTTCATCAATTTGAGCTTGCAGTTGTTCTTGCTTGAAATTCTGGTTTTGGAGTAAGTTATTTAATTCACGCACACAATTATGCTGAGGAAGCTCATCAAATGGAACCACCAATCCACAGCCTTGATTGCACGGAACAGGCCTTTTTGGGTTGTGTTCACACTGTGTTAAATGAGATTGTAATTGATCCAGTCTGACCACGCTATCACAGCCAAATCTCACATTTTCACATTTTATTGTTAATTTTGAAAGGAGATTCTTCAAGATTCTTGGCACTTGCTTCAGCTGGTGTGCTGTGAGATCGCGTCGATCAACAGGACAGATTTGTTGATGTCTCAGCCACTCATGTATACAGGCAGCACAGAATGCATGCTCACATGTCGGGACTTGAAGAGGATCTTCTAGCACTGATCTACAAATTGTACAGATCAGTTCCTCGTCAACTGGGCATGTAAATCGTACTGTTTCAAACCCCATAGTAACGGAGACGGAGATGTTCAACCTTAAAATGAAGAATGAGTTAGTACCAGTCTCCTCCACTGATATTCAAACATTCAGTTATCTGGCAAACAGATAATGAGATTACACAAACTCATCAGGGTGATGTTATTATCTTGATCTCACACCAAATTCTCTTAACATATTGTCAAGGAAATGAGTAGTAGCTAAAGGTGAGAATTAGCAATCACATCTTCAGAATTTTAAATGAGCAAAACAAAGTTTTGTTTGAGGAGTGCCACTAAAGCCTTCTACATGTGACCCTCTTAAGGACAGAAACCATTCAAATTTAGTCCTAGACCTTTCACCTCACAATGAATTTTTTTTTCCTTTGAATTTTTGTGAGGATAAAATTGCTCTTGATTTGATGTTTTAACTGATTAAACAAGTCTTCTCTGGGTATAAAATTAAAAATTCATTTGCTGTGATAATTCTCAACTGTATCCTTTCACTTCCATGCACCAATATCAATATGACTCATTATTACACGACTTGGGCAGTCAGAGGGCCAATAAACTAAAATCAACCAATCAAAATGCTCTATTGCCAGTCAATATTCTCTCAGTATTAGACCGGGCACTGTCCCAAATAGTCCCCGAATGATACCCCACTTGTGTCCCTTTGAACTTCAGTCGTATAATAAATCTCTTATTAACCAAGCTTGCTCGGGACCGTACTGGAAGAATATCGGCCTTCAGTCTGCGCTCGGTCCATACTGTCAAGACCTCTGGCCGATATTCTCCCAGTACGGCCCTCGCGCTTGGTTAATAAGATATATAAAGTCAATTTATGGTTTACCAAAATATCTTTATACCCTAAATGTGAAGAGATTTTGACTCAGTGGTTAACATTTAATTTCCCAGCCAAACAAATAAGAGATTACATCTGTGAAGTGACTAATCAAGATACGAATGGTTTCCATGTCTTCAATTTTGAGAAACGTCAGTAAATATCAAATACTTGAGCACACTTCTGATCTTGCTTAACCCATCAATGGCCGCAGCTTTTGTGGAAAACTGTGTTTTGAAACTAGTCGAGCAGATTTCGGTTCACTGTTGTGGTTTTAAAAGCTCAAACTTACCAAAAACCCCTTGACAGCTTGTACACTTGACAGCCCTTCGATCCAAATGCAAAATGGCCGCCTGAAAATCTCGGGCACGCGCAGAAAGCAAAATTTTGAGAATTTCTCTCTTTCTCCTGCCCTTTTTTTCCCCTCTCCTCGCCTGAAGTTTCTCCTCACTTGCTGGAAATTTAGTAGGCTTTATTTTGGTGTAGAGATTTTTCAGAAACTACTCATTATCTTCAAACCACATGCTCTGAAAGGTAGGTGGGTAATGGAACAAGATTTTCATCCAGATTTTCAGGTCAAAGTTACATGGTTTTTGGCTATTTCTCCAATCTCCTTCACTCAATTGCACTCATTCTGGTATCGTTTGTAAGATATTTTCAACCTGTTCAAGTACGTGCTCAAATTTGTGCTCCAGGGTTAAAAGCGGTGACGTCAAAAGGCGTAGAAAGGGTGTGGGTCCCCATGGGCGCATACGGGCGCACTGGACATCAATAGGTTAACCCTTAACCCTTAAGATCGGATTGTTAATTCTCCCTTCTAGCAGCTACACATTCCCTTGTAAATTTCATTACAAGAATTTGGTGTTGAATCAAGGTAACATCTCCACCTGATAAGTTTGAGTATTCTCACTACCTGTTTTCTAGATAATGTATGGATATTATAGGGAGAAGTAACATATTGATCACTTCTGGGAGTTAAAGGATTAAAAAAATTATGGAATAACTCTGCTCTATTTCAGAATGATGGTGCTTGTTTCCTAGTGCTTGCTACCACATATGTACCTAACCTACCAACACTTATGCCTTATTCAAAAGGAGGGTCTAGAAAAATACCCACATGTAGGAGAAGGATCTTAACATTAAGATTAAATAGAGACCCAAATAAATACACCTTATTTGATGGCATAAATCTACTGAGGCCACATTAGGTAGTAAATCCCATGGAATTCGTTGTATTAGAAAAAAATTGAGCTTATAATCAAACAAGGATTAGAGGACACAAACATGATATAATTTTTGTCCTTCTCGATCAGTCTCGCTGCCAAGAGATAATTTATCAGTATCGATGAAAACCTGTTACAGATACGAAAGCGATGGTTAATTCTTTACATGAGCCGACCTGCTCAAAAAGTAAAATCATATATCAGGTTCCGCACTGTGAGGCGATCAGCAGCTTCCAGGAAAAAGTTTACGTCTTTAAAATGCTAATTTCGTAAAGATCCTACGAAATTGTTTGTTATGATTCGATTATAGAACTTTGAGCGTGTCTGCAAGAACATTGTAGTAGTAGTAGTAGTAGAAACTTTATTAAAGTGTCAAAAACCGTCTAGCCAGGGAACAAATCCCCTACTAATTTGGGGACACCAATTAGGGGAGAATATACAAACTAAATACAGTAGTAGATAAAATATCTATTGTTAACTTATTAAGAGATTTATAGTAAAAACACACAGAAGTCAAAATGAACAAAGGCTACAGCCTGCGCAGCCATCATCTAAAAGTTCACTTATATTGAGTTGGCGTATCTTGCTTTTAAACGACGTTAGGGTTGTGACGTCCCTGATACTCTTGGGTAGTTTTGTCCATAGCTTAGGCCCTAAATATCTAATAGAGTGTTTAATTGTTGGAAAAACTAGATAAACAAAGTAGTATTATATATACAGAACAGCTAGATTTTCCTTGAGAAAAAAAAATAAAACCTTGACGAGGATTTCGTATTTACAGCAGGCCCAAATTATCTAAACTGAGGGCTTGAGATCCTTACTAACGGAAAGCGATTTTTCGCTTTTAACAGTCAAAAACTTATAACGTTTCTGATACATTATCATTTGCATACCTTAAACTTGAAAATCGCTGATTATACACGTTTCCAAATTGAAGATTTCACTGATAACTATCCACATATGTAAGGAGCTTCGCGGGAAATAAAACTCATCGCCGCCATAATAAAATTTACAACTGAGCGTCCTTAAATATCGCTTTGCATCATGGGAGGCAACTTGATTTAAAGCCACCCACCGGGGAGGGGTGGCTCAATGTAAGACATGAATGTGATATCTATCTCGTCGTATCCCAACTCTCACGCCTTAGGCGTGAGTCTCACGCCTGCGGGTTGAAAACTTCGATCTCACGCCTACTCACGCCTGCAGGCCAGTTTCTCACGCCTGATTGAAAAATGTGAATTGTTGCCGTCTTGCTTGACACAGTTTCCAAAAATATGTTAACTCAGACCTACGCAAGGAACAAAAACCATGTGTCATTCCTTTATACAATTGTACCACTATATTTCGTGAGCAGAATAAAGCTTTATGGCTTTTTCTGGGAACACCAACATCACAACTACCTTAAAAAATTGACCATGACAGTCCAAAACTTTCTGATTTTAGAACTAAAGCGCTGATGTTATCAACTAACGTCGGTCCTTATGGATAAGAGTTTTCTCGATAAATTCGCCTTCGGCAGACTTCGGAAATCTTCGGGATTCTTCGGACTTCTTCGGGAATCTTCGGGAATGATCGTGTCGTCTTAAAAAATCCCAGCACTCCCAGGATAAAAATCTTACGCCTATATCTCAGAAAAAGTTGGCAGGTATAGAATCCAAAAATTATATCCCTTCCTTTTACCGGATGTTTTCTTGGAAAAAGGATGTGCCATGACAATTTACATGTCTATTAATAGATTCGTCATTTGAACACTGTAAATCCGATATTGACAATTCTGAGAGTTGTGAGGTTTTCTTGTCGTGATAACAACAATCCTTACACACGTTTCCAAAACTAAATGAAACCGGCTTATACTATTTTGCGAAACGAAACGAAACGAAATTTTGCGAAATGGCGTTTTTTCGCCTTTATTTAGCAAAGATGTCATCTTCGTCCGAAACAAAATGTTTCCACTAATAAAATGATCAGTATTTCTAAGAGCCTGGTCACCTCTCATTTTATTGACCATAGTAGAATTCGTTTCGCAAAGTAGTAATTTTGACAGAATTACTATTTTGCGAAAAGGCGTTTTTTCGCCTTTATTCAGCAAATATGTCCTCTTCGTCCGAAACAAAATGTTTCCACCAATAAAATGATCAATGTTTCTAAGAGCCTGGTCACCTCTCATTTTATTGACCATAACAGAACTCGTTTCGCAAAGTAGTAATTTTGACAGAATTACTATTTTGCGAAATGGCGTTTTTTCACCTTTATTCAGCAAATATGTCCTCTTCGTCCGAAACAAAATGTTTCCACCAATAAAATGATCAATATTTCTAAGAGCCTGGTCACCTCTCATTTTATTGACCATAACAGAACTCGTTTCGCAAAGTAGTAATTTTGACAGAATTACTATTTTGCGAAATGGCGTTTTTTCCGAAAATAAGTGAAAAAACGCCATTTCGCAAAATAGTAATTCTGTCAAAATTACTACTTTGCGAAACGAGTTCTGTTATGGTCAATAAAATGAGAGGTGACCAGGCTCTTAGAAATATTGATCATTTTATTAGTGGAAACATTTTGTTTCGGACGAAGAGGACATATTTGCTAAATAAAGGCGAAAAAACGCCATTTCGCAAAATTTCGTTTCGTTTCGTTTCGCAAAATAGTATAAGCCAATGAAACCCACACTAAAAAAACGTATTACACTGCGAACACGTGAAAGTATGCCGGGAATAAAAAAATATTATCAAAATAAACACTTCTTCTTGGTAGAGTTCTTTCAGGACGTGACGTCATATGCTCAGCGCCACAAAAGGGAGGGAATAATAGATCATACAACAGATTCCGAAGTCACGGCAGCTGATACGTTTCACTACAAAATGGCGCTTAGTACGTTATTTGTATGGTTTGGCTATGTGTTGTGTATTCAGATTATCCTTCCGTCGGCGCAGTGTAGTAGAAACTGCACGAATAATGACTATAAGCCGTACATAAGGCCTTGTGACATCAAAACTCAGACTCGTTCCCTTGTCTATTACCTCGCTTCCAAATGGTAAGTTTTGAAATTTGAAAGATCAGCTCTTAATGTACGCTATATACCAACAACGACTCATTGGAATTGTAGTTATATTGTTAGGCGTAAATTTCAAGATTATTTCTTGGATTCCATCTAGTTGTGAAAGCTCGAATTTTAACTCAGATATCGTATTTGGTACTTTTCAATCCTACTTCTTTGCGTAATATCGTGGTTATTTCATGATTCGAATTTGTGAAGCTTATTTCTGAGAGTTCTTTATTTTCGGTTCTGTCAAGATTTCTCCATACGGCCCAAGATAACATTTAAAACAAAAACAAAACCTCTACAATTATTGTGGTAAGCTGGCACAATTTAGTGCATAATAAACAAAAAGTTAACGTTATTGAAACATCCCGTAACGATTTTGGATTGTTTGTTTAGCTAGATTTGCAAGTACATTTAAAAACAGCATCGGAGAAACGAAAGAAGTATTTAAGAGAAAAAATCAGGTTATTTTTTTGTACTCATATTTGAGAAATTGATGGAAGATGGGAAAACCGCACTTTCCTTTTTTGACCATGTTTCAACATACATCAGTGAGTCGGTGTATTTCAACATAATGATTTCATGTTTTTTAACCCTCTCACTCCCAAGGGTGCCAAGAAATCAAAAAATATCTTCTCTCAAGTTTCACATTTAATTATTCTCCCTTATTCTACCTCTGATAAGCTTTAGAATCTGACCCATTTTTAAAGCACTCCAAGATGAAAACTTTAGTCCAAGGGCACTACATTTTAAACCAAACCATTAGAGCTTGTTGATCATTCAGTTTGTTAAATTTTTACAACTCCAGGGACAAGTGTACCAACTTTCGGTCACATAACTAGCCACAAAATAAAATAATGCAGGTTTTATTTGTCTCCGAGAGGGTCAATTAAGCTGGATAATGCTTAATATTAAAAATAATATTGTAGCGCTGATATCCCAATGCTTTCAATAAGATTTGAAATAGGTGGCTACCTCAGTACAACACCCGCCGGAAAGAGACTTGATTGCGACTTAGCGTGGTGACTGTGACTTGAGCGCGGTGAAATATACCGGGCGATTCACAACAGAATACCTGCCGGAGCTCTGGTGGGTGCTGGGTCTTATTGAAAGCACTGTATCCAAACCTTTACAAGAGTGTTCCATAAGGCTGTCACATAAGGGTTGTCTTTCACACTGTTAGAGAGAAAGTCAGGAACAATTTGTACGGTGTGTCAGTGAATTTTTGAGATGATCAAATACTTTGTAAGCAAACAAAATTTATTTAGTGAGTTTCTGAACAATACTTCAGTCTGTAGATTATTGATCAAGAGCAAGTTCAAATTTGATGGATATTGGCTAACTAATACATAAGATGCGTTTCTGGCTGGTCATTAATTGACAATATATGAAAGAGTGTTTTACTGTTTCCATTTCGGTACAGACTGAGTCATCATCACCATCCTAATTTCAGTGCCAAGCCCTTCATAAGAATTAATGTTCCTGTAAGTTAAAAAACCAGCAGACAAAGTCTTTATCAAGAACGTGTTTTTGTTTCAGTTCCTCTATCTTAGTTTCTTTCATATTCCTGCTGAAATAGATGTTGTTAATTTCAAGGCCATTAGCCAAAATGCTAATATGTTTTTAGAAATTCCATCCAAAAATGAAAAGCTAGGGTGAGGTGACTTTGAATTCTGTTTTCTTACAGGCAAGAAATGAAAACATGAGTTTCATTTTCAAAATGAGAAGTTAGAATTTGTTTTAAATGTAGAGAAAAAAAGCATGTTTTGGAAAATGAGTCATGTTTCCATTTTAATTGCACTAAAGAAAAACAAAAGTAAATTGCATTTTTCATTTGCATAAGAAGGTAAAAATTGGTTTGCATCAAGGTACATGGATTGTGGCCAACCTGAGTGCAGTATTCTGTTTTCTTTTTAACTGCTTTTGAAGCATGTATGTATGTATGCTTGCTATCCGATAGCTAAGTTACTAAAAGAGGGAGAGAATAAGCCCCGAAATAGACAGATCCCTACAACAGATGCCATGGTAGCTGACTACATTTCGATACAAAATGTTGTTTAGTACATAATTTGAATGGTTTGGCTATGTGTTATGAATTCTGATCATCCTCCCGTCAGTGCAGTGTAGAACCTGTATGAAGAATGATTAGAAGTCTTGCATAAAACCCTCTGACATCGATGCACAGACTCATTCACTCTTCTATCACCACAGTTCCAAATGATAAGTTTTGAAATTTGAAAGATCAGCTAGCTCTTGATGTACACTATATGCCAACAACGACTCATTGGAATTGTAGTTATATCATTGTAAGCATAAATTTCAAGGTTATATCTGGGTTCCATCAAATTGCAAAAGCTAGAATTTTAAATCAGATATTGTATTTGGTACTTTTCTATCCCAGTTAATTCGTGATTATCTCATGATTCAAATTTCTGAGAGTTCTTTATTTTTGGTTCTGTCAAGATTTCTTCATATGGCCCAAGATTACATTTGAAACAATACCTCTTTATAATTATTGTGGTAAGCTAGCGCAATTGAGTGTATAGTAAACAGAGAAGTTATTAAAACATCCCTTAACAATTTTAGACTGTTTATTTAGCTTGATACGCAAGTACATTTTTAAAACGGCATTTGAGAAATGAAAAAAGTCTTCAAGAGAAAGAATCATGTTATTTTTTTGTACTTAAATTTGAGAAATTGATGGAAGATGTGTTAAAATAGAGCTTGTTGATCATTCAGTTTGTTAAATTTTTACAACTCCAGTGACAAGTGTACCAACTTTTGGTCACACGACCAGCCACAATATAAACTAACGTAGGTTTAATCTGTCTCTGAGGAGGTCAATCAAGCCGGATGTTGCTTACCAATGAAAAGAATATTGTTGCGCTGATATCCAAACCTTGACAAGAGTGTTCTATAAGACTGTCACATAAGGGTTGTCTTTTCACACTGTTAAAGGAAAAGTCAAGGACTATTTGTACTGTGTGTGAGTGAATTTTTGAGATTATCAAATACTTTGTAAGCAAATAAAATTTATTTAGTGAGTTTCTGAACAATAATTCTGTAAATTATTGACCAAAAGCAAGTTGAAAATAATTTGATGGATATTGGCTAACTAATATCTAAGATGTGTTTCTGGCTGGTCATTACAAGACAATATATGAAAGTGTTTTGTTTCCCTTTCAACACAGACTGGGTCATTATCACCATCCAAATTTCAGTGCCAAGCCCTTCATAACAATGTTCTTGTTAGATAAAAAACCAGCAGACAAAGTCTTTATCAAGAATGTGTTATTGTTACATTGCCTCTATCTTAGTTTCTTTCACATTCCTGCCAAAACAGATGTTGTTAATTTCAAGGCCATTAGCCAAAATGCTAATCTGTTTTAGAAATTACATTAAAAAATGAAAAGCTAAGGTGAAGTGACTTTGAATTCTGTTTTCTTACAGGCAAAAAATGAAAACATGAATTTCATTTTAAAAATGAGAAGTTAGAGTTTACTTTAAATGGAGGATTTTAGAGAGTCACGTTTCCATTTTTATTGTGCTGAAGAGAAACAAATTAAAGTAAATTGTGTTTTTTATTTGTATAAGAAAGTAAATATTGGTTTGCATCAAGGTACCCAGATTGCAGTTGACATGAGTGCAGTATTCTGTTTTCCTTTTAACTGCTTTTGAAGCTTGCTATCTAATAGCTAAGCATTTTGTCTTTTTCCTTTTTGATATTATTAAGTGGTCAGGATAAACTGTGTGTAATAGTGCTAGATTAATTTATGAGTCTGTAACTATACAACGTTAAACGAATAGTTGGCTTGAATTTCATCAGGCTGGCCAAATATAGACAATGCAGCATTTTAATCAATACCCAGCGTTTTATTGAGAGTTTCATAATTGTGATCATAATATTGTTCTATATTCTCAGCTCAGGGGGTGTACGTCCTCCAGCTCCAAAAAGCGGTTTACCCTGTAACTGCCCTCCAGGAGAAGGACTTCCTGAAAACATCACTGCTACTCAGTGTATGCCATGTGAAAGTGGGTCTTATGGGTCAGGGGGGGAAATCATTAACAACTGGAAAGACTGGACTAAGAATGGTACTGTGCCCCCTGAAGGATCAGGCATTATTACATTCTGCCAAGCTGAACGTCAATATGTTCTACCTTGTCGTCCATGGAAAGTAAGCGGTAAGGTATTTATATTTTGAGAAACTTTCACTTGACCCTTTCTCTCCAAAGATCTCGTTAATAATACTCCTTGAGTTGTCTACCATACAATGTGGTATTGGATCAACTTACCATTGCCTTGTACATAATTCCCATCACTTGTGCGCTTGTTAGTCTTGGTCACTCATGCAAGTTAAAGGGTAAAGAGTTGAAAGTATACTGTAGTATAAAATGTTTTTGGTTTTGCTTCACTTTGCCAAGTGATTTGTACAGAAAACTTGTGCTTTTTTCTTGACCAATCAGATTCATTGAGTTTTGCAAAGTATTTAGTTCTACTGTTACCATAAAGCACGAATTCAAGAAGTCATGTTTGCAATGGGCTTCTGTGTGTTGCATGAGCTTAAAGTCTTTTAATTTCGGTCCATTCATTAACAAGAAATCAGGAAATACCTTCTGTCTAGTGTATGCATTATTAATAATAGGTGACCTGGGTTTCACCCTGCTATGAGCTTTTTTTTTTCATTCCTATTCTGAGTTCACATTGGTCCACTGTGATCAGTTCTCCTAGACAGTAATGCTGCCATTGCCCTACAGAAGCTCTCCACTCTGTCTCTTGCCTCTCAGCATGCACCGACTGAATTTTTGCAGTGCCATTTTTTTTCGAGGATTCCACTGTTATCAAGTTATTTAAGATTGCATTTTTCATTCATTTGTGGTGGCAGCAGTTGCTATAAATTTATTACACTGGGAAATGTAATTGAATACAGCTTATTACACTTAGCATGACTTTGTTGTTTCATGTGAAATTCTTTTCCTCTACAGCTGATAACTATACAATCAACTCAGGGGATAATTCATTAACAAGATGTATGTCATCTATCCTACTAATGACAAAGAAGTTTGTCATAGACAGCAGCAAAGTTGGTTTTGAGTATCGTGTAGACAGTCGAAACTGCAGGAGGCCTGGCTACTTAGGGTGTGATGGCCTGGCATTTTTTGTCGACAACAAGGAAATGCTGACATACAGTGGAAATGAATTTAATTGGGTCAAAGCTACATACAATTTGACAAAGGTATGCAACTTTGAGATGATTTGAAAGTGGTAGCGAATTTTCAACAGACCCCTCTGCTGGTAACAAATCACATGCAGGAATACTAAATGGAAAATGCCATCTCTTTTAATTTCCAGGGATTTCATACACTGAAATGGATCTATCGCAAAAGTTGCTTTAGTTTTGGAACATATTCCTATATAGACAAAGCCTTTATTCGATCCATAGAGTTGGTAAGTTCTGTTTCAAACCTTTTTAGGTGTTAATCGGTGTGATCAAATTTCACTTTTCAAATAAAGTAAATTTCCTAAAATGCATTATAAGGTATTAGTACATACCACAAATGAAGAGTGCTTTTTGCATGGGCTGATTGGCTATTTTGAAAGTAAATAGCAAGTACCATTCACCCCAGAGCAGCTGATGAGACAAAATCTGACTGGTTAATATCTGACCAATTTTTCAGTATATTGAAAGATAGGAACTTATTTATTTTGGTGTCTGTATGGTGTATAGTAAAACGGGTATTGGTTCAAGTGCTGGGTATTTACTAAATGACTTTGCAGCTTCATCTGCCACTATTTGCCTCCACATTACTGTATAGTAATTATCAACTATGGTCTGTTAATATGTTAGGTTGACTTTGTAAACCTAAGTAATAATGTCACCGATGAAATTCTCAGTCTATATCAACCAAAACACCAGGGAAGAAAACCAAACACAATAAACACAATAACCACTAAAAAGCACATTTACAATGCAAATTGCAAATTGCTGAGTTCTTATATATGCTCATTCAACAAAATATGCCACATGTTATTTGATGGGCATTGAAACCTTTTGGTGATGTTAATGTCATTCCTAATGAGATGTCAGCAATCGATATCGTTTTTCAATTCAGGTTGGCATTAAGGAACCCAATGTGAAATGTAAAAAATGCCCACCAGGTTTTTACAGTAACAAGAAAAGAGCTACAAGTTGTACACCATGCTCATATTACCAGTATCAAGATCAGGAAGGTGGGCTTGTTTGATTGCATGCACCTGTCACAGAACAATTTTTTCATTGATTCTCTACTGCACTACACATTGTTCTCTCCAGAACTAAATTTTTTCACCTTAGTTCATGATGGACATTTCTGCATGTCAACTGCCTCAGTTGTCAGTCTTCACACAAACAGAAGTAATATTAACAGCATTATCTAATGCATCACTGTAGCCTGCAAAGTCAGGAATGAGGGGAAAAGTAACATATTTTGGGAATATTTCCGAGGAATATGGCCCTAGCACCTTCATTGTCAAGAAAAAGTTGTTAGAGAAACAGACTAAACACCCAAGAGCTAGTACAATAGCTGTACATCTGGGATGGATCTAGGATCTAGTCAAGGAGGATTCAGAAAAATTTCCCCCTTCTAGAGGGGTCAGTGGGCACTTCCTCAGGAGATTTTGAAATTAAGGTCTTCCAAAACATGATTTCCAGTGTTTTGAGGTATAATTTAAGGGGTTCAACAGAACCACCTAAACCAACCCTGGATACACCCCAGTGCATGACCTCCTCTTGGAAACTTCTACCTCTTCCTTCTGTTTTAACAGCTAGCCTTTACAATCTGAGCCCAACCTTTTCTCATCACTCATTTCAGGCGAGAAAAGGTGCCAGACTTGTCCAGCAAATATGTATTCTATGCCTGGTGCATCAGAATGTGTCCCTCTTCTAAACTGCACTGATGACGATGTAATTGCTGCTCCAGGAGATGTGAGTTCATGCACATGTAACACAACATCAAATGGTTTACAATGTACAACTACTGTGAAGCCTGACTATATCAAAGTTCATGGTGAGTTGCATAAAGTACCTAACCATAATTTCTTCTTATGGTGTCAGTTAATTGTTCTCTGGAAAGATGACAAGAAGAAGAAAATATCAACTTAGGGATACAGTTTGAGTTAAAACCAAATTCTCAGGTCTACAATTATGAGAAATGTGAAGGAGGCAGAACAGAGAATTGATATTAACCTTTTAATTATTCCCAGAGTGATTAACATGTCACTTCTCCCCATAATATTTGTACATTATCCAGCAAATGGGTATTGAGAATACTCAAACCTATAAGGTTAAGAAGTTGTTGTCTTGATCAACTCCAAATTCTCAAAACTAATTTACAAGGAAATATGTAGTACTTAGAGAGGGAGAATGGGAGTGAAATACCAGTAATGAAGTACAAAACTGAGATTATATGAAATGAGTTGATGGGGTTCAATGAAATGAAAATAACTGATTGCTATATGTTGTCGTCTTAAACAAGGTAATTGTTTATCGCATTGCCCCTCTCCAACCAGGAGGGTGATTGGGTACTGGAAGACTGTTTGGGAAACCTGTAATAGAGGATATGCTCTTGGGCTCAGTTTCTTGAAGGCTTATTAGTGCTAACTAAGGGTTGAATTTAGGTAGGTTTCTTTCCTTTCAGTCCAAAACCTCTTTTATAACTTTCTCTCTTCTTTTTTTAGAACGTCTAGTTACCAGATTACTTAAAACAAAAACAAAATTATATAAACTGAAAGTCAAATTGAAGCTTTTAGATATGAAATCAGATTTTATACCATCTATGGTTTATCTTGACTAAGCTTGGAACAATATGGCTCTGGTTGTGTTGTGCTGTTGAAACCAGCTTTAGCTTAAAGCCAGAGGGCTCCTGGCTCCAAAGCATCCATAACTCAGTGTCTGAGAATTTGTGCACAGACCTCTGCCCTAACCCCCACCCCCCTTTGGTTAGGAGAGGGGTGGGTGCTGTCATTGATCCACCTTTTAATTCATTAAATTCCTTGTTGATTTTCAGTTGCAAATGTCGGTGATCCCAGACTGCTTTGCAATCCATCAGGACATCCCAGTCCTAAACGATTTCAGTATCAATGTAAATGTCAGGGTGGGTTTGAGATAGTGAATGGTACCGGAGGAAAACTGCAGTGTAAGCCGTGTCAAACTGGGTTCAAGTCACTTGGAGTCAAATGTGAGCACTGTCAGGCTGGTCATGTGGCGTTACCAGGGAAACATTACAGTATATGGAGAAGTAACACTTTACCTGAAGGGTTCACCGCTAATTGTACTGGAGATTGCGCCGTGAAGGTCTGTAGGAATAATTTGGATTTGATATAGTTGAAAGGAGAAATATGTTCCATAACCCCCCTTTTTTTCACTTATCAGGGGTTTCCATGAGAATTTTAACAGGGGGTTGGAGCCCCGGGATATCACATGGGGGGTCCCGGGTCCGGGAACATGCATCCCCGCAAAAATGTCATATTCAACAGCAGAAGGCTTTTTTTCAGAAGACCGTTATAACTGTTGATAGTCTTGTCAAATGAGACGAGGAAAGTACAGCATGTACATGAAATATGACGAAGCAGCTGGGCAAAGTCCTGTTCCCAGCGAGTTGATTTGCCCCGTACCCGGCCCTTAATGAAATCCCCCGGCTTATCGCGTTTTGAGACTCCAGATAGTGAAATAACCGTTTGAAAATTGTCTTCAAATACGCCTAACGATCGACTGAAGACGCTGCCATTTTTAAAACAGCTCAGAAACGTAGCAGCACACGCGGGTTTAAAACAGCTATTATTTTAGTCGAGAATCACTTTCTCTTCAGCTCCTAATTGCTCAAACAGATCGCCACGGGTTGCCAAAAGTGTGAGGAAAAAAATGAGACTTTAAGTGGCTCACATTGGTGGCCAGGTTGCAAAGCCAAACAAGGCTACGCCTTGTATGCAACCTTTTTTTTTGTTTTTACCACGGAATCTATTTGGTGAGTGGATGGGGCTTAAGAGATTTGAATCAGTTTATATTCTCTTGACGGTGCCCAATTCCTCATGTTATTTTGTAGGGTGGTTGGATACCTTCCGGCGATGTTATCCGAACAGCCCGCGTTGTTGGAGATGTACGTTCTTATCTACAGTCACCAGAATTTACATTTGACTCCGAGTTAGCGAAAATCGCTTTCAACTGCTCCATCACCTGTAATTTAACAGGTGTTTCACCAAAGGCTTCACCAGGTGAACATCTCGCTCAGATCCAAGACTGTAACTTAGTATTTCAGGTTTGGAGTAATAGCACGATTGTGGATGAATTAAACTGCACACGCCCTAGAGGTAGATATGTTTACAGGCATGAAACTAAACGTGATGGCAGAGTTGCAAGGCATGTGTACCCGCTCAAGAAAGGACGCTACTCTTTCAGGTAAAAGAAATGTCAGCTAAAAGATGGTTTGTTATCGCACGCCAAGCTCGCATACTCTTGCCGAAATTTCCACGTGGCTTCTGTTTGGTTCGTTAGCAGAACCAAATCTGTTAGCTACCTTATCAGTGCCAAATGCATCCAGGATCGATTTGTAGCAATGCATAAATATGAAGTTATTGAAGGAAACTCGTGCAAGGGTTAACTATGCTCCAGCGCGATGGTGGTGAAACGATTTGCGAACAGATCACGATACTGATTGTGCTTGCTACGCCATTTATGTCTGATGTATTTTTTTGTCTCAGTTCTCGTCGATTTCTGGTCTCTCTCTCTCTCTCTCTCTCTCTCATTTCCTTTCCTTTCCTGTTTTTCCACAGATGGGTTTTCATCCAACAGGACGAGACACGAATGCTTTCCACTGCATTCGAGGGAAAGCTTTACAATATCAGTGTACTCGGGGTGCAGAACGGAACAGCCAGGAACTGCACAACATGCCCAGCTGGGTACAATAGCACCCGAGGAAACACTGATTGTACAATATGTCCAAATGGAACCAGCGCCTCACCTGGAGCAGATAAATGTATACCCTGTAAAGAAGGAACCTATGCTGCTGAAGTAAGTGTTTTATCCGAAAAAAAAGCACGTTGTGGCTTGGCAGCATAATAAGAGCAAACACACTATGCGCTTAATTTGAGGCGATCGGCATGTTCGTCTCCGGTGCTACAAGTTTTCGCTTACCATTTCCGACCACATGACCGAAAGAAACAAGGACCCTGGTAACGAAAACTAGCAATTCTTGAATTTAGGGTATTCCTGACTTATTACGCATATCTATCTCGGGTTTTTGTGCTGGACAACATGTATCCCCCAGGGGAATGAAGGCGTAAGTTTCTAAAGAAACTGTGGTGCTGCGTCGCTGGGGGGAGTGTAACAAGAAAAATTTTGGAATTATCAACTGAGTTAATAATGTAAACTGGCCGCCTAAAGAGTTTCAAAGCTGAAGTTTCGAGCGTTAGCCCTTCGTCAGAGCGAATAGAGGAATTGTGGGTTGTGTGTGTGTGTGTTTATGTGCGGGAAATGGAGCAACGCTATCGGTGGGAACGTGGTGGCGAGAAATACAAGATTATATTAGTTTAATGAAAAGCGTTCGTTGATACCGTGGGGACGAGGTTGCCGATTTGAAAGGTACATTTTTGTTTTAGAGTCGTGCGCCTTTCCGAACTGCCTAGATGTAAGAAAAGGCCGCAGACTGCCTTATTCCATCTGAATCTACTTGTGTAATTAGACTTGCATGGGAGGCAGAGGCTGTGACTTACGGATACTTACTGACTTGTTGTGTTCTTGGTGAATTGCAGAAGGGAAGTGCAGAATGTCTCCCGTGCGGTCAAAACACCAAGTCGCTGCCAGATAGAGATGGTTGTGACACGAACAACTGTATGTTCAAGCCTGCGGATGATGTTTTGTATGACCTCAGTAAACTCTCTCGCCCAGGAGGGCCGATGATTGAAGCATTGTTCTATCGCCCAAGTTTACCTTGGCAACGACGGTGAGCAGTTATTCTTAACTTCCCCCTCACTAGTGACACTTTTGACACCACTAACACTTTTTCCGCGCGCGACACTGATGACACATTTTTTCCCGTGCTTGTAACTGATAACAAGTTCCCCCGCGCTCGACACACGTCACCACCAACTCTGCGCCATTTTTTGATTTTCGTCAAGTTACATGGTTTCTAACGCTTTTCGTTGGCTGTAACAGTTGTAAGCGGTGACGCTGATCACCCACCGTTCACATTTTTTTCTTCAGGTCACACGATTCCCGCGCTTGTTACTGGAACGTGTGCACTGAGTTCGGTTTTACTTCTGTACAAATCATTTGCTGAACTAGGTTTTTCTTTTTATCCATAGTTTGAGCATTTGGCCATTCCAAAGAAGTATTCACTTCAATCTCTGTACCCGTAATCACGATAACTCTTCATGTGTTTCCCGTGATCGGGCAACAGGAATACACACTCCTCGGCCCGTGATGTCGTGCAGGTCGTCGTGGTATACACGTGACATAGATTTGGGCTCTGTGATTGGCTACCGAGCTAAGAAAGACATCCGATCGGGTTTGTTTGTGGACCTGCTTAACGGGGACAGCTGTTACGACCCTGGTAAGTTAATTTATGTAAGCATACCGACTGATGAGAGTTTTCAAATTGTGAAAGAAAAAGCAATACAAAAACAAACATAACTTTGATGCAAGTGCTATATTTATAATTCTTAAATACTGGATTATTGGATAATGCAATTCAAGACTTTTTATTGGCTTAGCCATTATGGTATATGAGCCAATATACCATAATCTGCAAATATGGTAAGCGTACTCGTCAGCTTAAAATTAAAAGGGAGCTAAAAAATCCGGTTTCTTCTTGCAAAATAATAATTTCTTGGGGCCGTTTTTAATAAAACAATTATTCCACTCGCGCTTGTTGGATATGAGATGATTATAGCCAACTCGACGCCACGCTCCTCGTTGGGTATCTATCATCTCATATCCAACGCGCGCTCGTGGAATAATTGTTAATACAGCCGGCAGCGCGCGTCGGCAAGATGAAGCAAATCCGGTGTTCTGATTGGCTACTTGAGCCGGCAAGATGGGTCCATCTTGCCCGCTCGGGATCGCTAGCCTCGATTCAGCGCAACGAAAAGATTCAACTATGGTCATTTTTAGACAATTACGGCAACGGATTCCTCAAAAGCGAAGACCAAAGAAAACATCAAACAGGCCTACAAACTCACTTTGATTTCTTTTCCGGCTCTCGAAATAAACAAGTCATTCTTGATTCCTATTATATCGAAAATATTTTCGTTTAATATAAATCTCTTATTGACCAAGCTTGTTCGGCCAAGCTTCGTCTCGGTCCATAAAAACGCATCGAGCCATCTTAGTAAGTAAGTAAGTAAGTAAGACCTTTATTTAAGTGTCAATGTGTTTAGTCTAAGAAGACTAATTGGGGACACTATAATTGAAATACACTTATAAAAATTATATATTTACACGAAAATTGTCAATAACGCGTGTATGCAGAAAATCTACTCAACGATTTTCCATATTTGAGTTATTGTTTACTAGAATTTACGACCAGAAAATTTCGAGGCTTTGCGTTAAAAATTCTGAAAATTGAACGATGTAAACCAATTATTTTATTGAACAACACTTTTGGTACATTAATATTTGAATATTTACGTCGCAAAGCCTCGCCTGAAGTCAGAAAGATCACTTTGTTCCGTTTTCAAGCCATAATTTCCATCGCGTTTGAGAATGAGCTACCGTTAACCCCAAAGCTAATGAAAGAGCTACATTCTCATTGTTTTTTTTTTTTTTGTATTGTTTAGCACACATACTTTCTATTTGAGCTCCAAAAGGTTTATTTCAATTAGGATTGAACGGAAAAACAATGTTGAAAGGTTTGAAGCCTCGAAGCTTAACTCGACGGGAACTTGACAAACGGCACGTCATGTTATTATATACGACCGTGCGGCACGGAAGGATTTTTACCATAGTAGCTCCTCTAGGAATTAGGTAAGGTTGGCGGCCGCGATATGTCGTAGTAGATTAGCATCATATAAATTTTTAGAACTAAGAGAATGTGGAACGATAAAGGGTTTTTGCTAAGACGTGGACGTGAAGTTGCTCAATGGAGTGAATCTATCGAGTGCTGGAATCAGTTACGCGATACGATCAATTTCCTTTTTCTCCGTTTTCCCTTCTAGGCAAAAAGTCGTCACGCTATCAAACCACACTTGACCTCAGGTGTGACATTAGAGCGGGTGTCGGTAACCCAGCCCCCGAAAACAATCGCACGAGCCCATTGAGTGGTCGCTGTAAATACGTCTTCGTGTGGAAGTCGTTGTACGCTTGCCCAAAATGCCGCTATGGTGACGTGACGCGAATTACCGGCGAATGCATCAACGGATCGCGTAATGTGACCTACTTTCGCAAATTACCTTGTTGGAGGTCTGGTGACGACTCGGAACTTCCATTGACTAATGCAACAGAAGAGTGTGAGACACCAACGTCAACTGTTATAGTAAAGGTAACGGTCAAAGTGAAGGAAAATGAAACGAATGCTTATCAGACACTAAAAGAGAAAAACAAAGTCAATATGGCTTTGATTGGTGTAGGAGTCGTCATTATCGTTATCCTGGTAGGTGTAGCAGCCTTTTTTGTGTACAAGCATCGTGCCTTGAAGTATCGCTTTTACGGCATGTTGGCTAGAGACAAACCCATGAGCCGTCTCGAGGAGGAAGATGAGAATAATTTTATCCACGATGATGAGCTAGCAGAACCCTACCAAGAGACGTCATCCACTGTGAGGACCTAGAAAACTTCGTATATCCATTCGTTGAGCCCACTCAATTCCCAAACGTTAAGATTTTTAGAAAGTAGGGTTATTTTCGAACTGATTTTATCAATACTAGTTTTCCTTCATTTTAGTGTACTCTAAAGACCATGTAATTTTCATCACCGCCATCAAAATCTCACCTGACCACGGTCGAAACTACTCCGGTTATCGCAACGAATCATTCTTTGATTCAAGTGCATTTTTTTCTAAAACTCCTCATTGTTCAAATAATATCACCAAGCGATGGATCAAAGAGGAGAGCGAATTTTTTACGTCCTAGATAAGCGGCCTGGCTACTTAATAAGCTTCAAAATGGCGGCGGTTAGGAGACGGTCAGTCTTATTTTATATTTTTAATGGCGGAGATAAAAATTATATGGTTTCTGGAATATGTTTTTCCATTAAAAATTTAAAGGTGAGCTCGAGATTTATAGTGGTAGATAGTGGTCGAGGGACAAGGGTTTTAAGAACTTTTTCCACAAGCGGCTGCCGATGATCTGCTCGCAGGCTAAAAAGACCAAAGCAAGAGGTCTCAAAAGCGGCGGGGGCGTGTATTATCCAACTGCACAAAATAGAGTACAAATCAGTGGCGGATCTAGACCTTGAGTTAAGCGGGAGGCCCGTTTTTATTTGTGTGTGTATTCACCTGCCGGGTATTCTTATTTTTTTAC